ACTAGTAAGAAAGTACTGAAATGGGGGGGGGGGGTTGTGGTGGGACAGAACTCAGGTACCCTCACAGGTAACTGCATCCATCATCCTCTGACACGGCCCGGTTCCCCGGCGTCAGCACCACCTCTGGCCCAACAGCGCCAACGTCGGCAGAAAGCCAGAGTCCGTACCCCTCATTAGCCTCCCCTACTTTCTCCCCCATATAGATCTCTGCTGCCCGCTAGCTGCCGAAAGTGAATGGGGCGGGTGGCACGAGTCGCGGCTCTCCTCCCGCACTGCTTGGGCTGGCATGGCGACCTGAGGACGACTGGGTGCCGCGTCGTGCCAGTGTCACAGCGGGTTGCGCCGGAACTGAAGGAACGTCCGGTTCCCATCTCTCAGCACGGGCCCACGCCACCTGGACCATGACTTGTGGGATGCGTGAGAGGCACGAAAATGCGCGCCTCACGTGAAAACCCAGAGAAGGCACTTCTCCCCACCGCGGAGAAGGATCCGAACCACCTCCAATTTTCCGGACTGTTAGATCCGGACCCTGTGCTTCCCAAAGTCGCGGCTCGCCTCAACCAGAGGGAGATGAGGAGGCGACCCAGAGGTCCAGCAAGGACCTGGCGGGATGGCGGTGTGGAAGCAGCTGAAGAAAGACACCATGACCTCCCCCCCTTTCCCAATTACTGGGGGAAGGGGGGGATAATGCCGGCCTTGTTTCCTCGAGGGCGTCGGAGGCAGCAGGTTGGCGCAGGCTGGCACCAGCTCCTCGCAGGAAGGGATTATGCAGGGTGCTGGACGGGCCAGCACGCAGAACACAGACAGGCTCAGAGCCGCAGCCTCGCTTTGACTCGAGGCGGGGGGGGGGGGGCATGTGGGGAATGTAGAGCAGGCAGAGGGGAAACAAGAGGGTTTAATATTTTAAAGTCTGCCGAGCAAATCGTTCAAAGTGGGCACTGAAGAACACTCCTCAAGCGGCGGCCTTTACAAAACACACAAGGGGGGGGGTAATGAAAGGGCCCCTTTCATCAGCCAGCCCCCCCAACGCAGGCTTGGGAGTCGCTCCATGCCAGGCCCACCTGTCCGTGACGCTCCACCTCCACCAGCTCCTTCAGGAACCTCGTTATTTTTTATTTCCCAACCCCGTGGGCCATTTCTCCCAGTGCAGGCGGACGTGGCTATGTCATCCATACATGTCCACAGGCAGGCGCAAATGTAGAGGTCATATGAC